GACCCCCTTCCCTCCCCCATCATGACCCACTTCCTTCCGCCATCCTGAACCCCTTCCTTCCGCCATCCTGAACCCCTTCCTTCCGCCATCCTGAACCTCTTCCCTAGGCCATCTTGAACCACTTCCCTCCTCCATCTTGAACCACTTCCTTCCGCCATCTTGAACCACTTCCTTCCGCCATCATGAACCACTTCCTTCCGCCATCCTGAACCCCTTCCTTCCGCCATCCTGAACCTCTTCCCTCCTCCATCTTGAACCACTTCCCTCCTCCATCTTGAACCACTTCCTTCCGCCATCTTGAACCACTTCCTTCCGCCATCATGAACCACTTCCTTCCGCCATCCTGAACCCCTTCCTTCCGCCATCCTGAACCTCTTCCCTCCTCCATCTTGAACCACTTCCCTCCTCCATCTTGAACCACTTCCTTCCGCCATCTTGAACCACTTCCTTCCGCCATCATGAACCACTTCCTTCCGCCATCATGAACCCCTTCCTTCCGCCATCCTGAACCACTTCCCTCCGCCATCCTGAGCCACTTCCCTCCGCCATCATGAACCCCTTCCTTCCGCCATCCTGAACCACTTCCCTCCGCCATCATGAACCACTTCCCTCCGCCATCCTGAACCTCTTCCCAAGGCCATCCTGAACCACTTCCCTCCGCCATCCTGAGCCACTTCCCTCCGCCATCATGAACCCCTTCCCTCCGCCATCATGAACCCCTTCCTTCCACCATCCTGAACCACTTCCTTCCACCATCCTGAACCACTTCCCTCCGCCATCCTGAACCCCTTCCCTCCGCCATCCTGAACCACTTCCCTCCGCCATCCTGAACCCCTTCCCTCACTCTTCCATGGACACTAGGACAGAAGGAGGTTCTGGTGGGACGGTCAGTCATGGTGAGGGAGCTCAGGGAACAGACGTTGGGAGCTGCCTTTGGTCCCTTTCTCACAGAAGATACTTGGGAAGAAATTTGGGGTCGTCTCGGGACATTTGAGGACATTCATCTAGAACAATGACCGGTGGTGACACGTAGTTGGTGATTCCGGAGCATGAAACTCTGCAAAGAGCCATTGATCAGCCCCCCGGAACTTCTGCGACAAACACGGATTACTGAATGCTGCATAGCAATCAAAACTGCTCCTGTGATGCATTTAACAGCCCCAA